TTACTACCAGCTGGATAAAGACAGATTCCAAGAAATTTAAACATTTGCTAAGAAAATGCTCAGCTTGTTTGGCTCGACATACTTTTGTGTGCAGATGTGTTGAGATTTGAAATTTAATAAGAACCGTGCGAGGATGAGACTAAGTGATCCTAACCAACGTTATATCTTGCGTGTCAAATCCAGCAAATTTGAGCCTAAGTTTGTTGGAGTCAAGATCTCAATTTTGTCGTTTACATTAAAAAGTTACAATTAGAAAGATATAACGTACGTCAATTTTAGTTATCATCTAAATGTCAGGCTGACTGTGGCCCAAATTTTTGCCTTACAAAATGTGGCCCTCCATGCGAAAAGTTTAGACACCTCCGGAATAGACGAAGTTTCACTTCAATTTAAATATTAGGCTCAGGAGACAGTTTAGTCACGGGCAACCGAAACCCTTGTGTTGTTTTTTGTTTAATTGCAAAACAAAATGTGAGGAATCATTTTGTAGGTAGGATACTCAAAGCTTGCGTGAATAAACACCAGTCACTCATAATCCACTGTGTTGCTAGATGTAGGCTTTCATCTTAAACAATAGGGTGTGACGCTGCAGAGCACCTGGATTATCCGTTATACGAACGTACATACAGTAAGTTTCGAAGATTTTAATATGCTTGGACAGTCTATTTATGCAAATCTAATCGTCAGCTACAGAAAACGGTAATTGAAACTTTTGAGCAATTAACCGTCAAGATGCGGTGAGGGTTATTTATTTTTCGCTACTAGTGATGATGCAACCAGCCAAGAAACGAACATGCTTTTACAACAAATAATATGCAGTCACTATATTGCTATTACGTCCTTTAAGCAGTCACCGACATTGTGCGTTCCATCTGTTTCTGTGCGACTGGTAACTATGAATTCATTTTAAAGTATCAGTAGTTACAAAGACTGGGTAAAGTAAGCGAGCGTACTCTAAGGTAGTACTTCAGAGCATACACGCGATTGGATAATATTAATCAACATAACACGGAATTAACACTGTGACCATTAAAATGTCAAGTGTGATGATTGCCAAGGATCGGTATCATTTGTTTCAACCGAAGGTTTCTGAATACAAACATGCATGGAACCTAGCATTAAAGGTGTATTAAGCTGTAGCTTGTGAGAAGCTCTATAAATCACCGTTGTTCTTGGGAAAACTCTCAGATCTTAGTGTATCCGCTAAAGCTTTTGATTACATCAGTGATTTACCTGCGTACAATAATCTGGCGGAATAGCTGCAGTAAAGATATGAAGGAGAGCGAAAAGCTTTGTTGGTTGTAACGCATTGCAGGTGAGGTAAGCTGGTTTTTGGATGTGTAACATTGTTGCCTTTCGGGCATGAAGAACTAAAACAAATAGTCTGACTGCAGAATTTGGAGAGTACCAATGCCCTTCGATAGGTTCCCAACAGAAGTTGGTCCGACATTTTGTCTAGAATTATATAGGCATTTACAGGCAACCTAAAGCGCTGTGCCAAATGATTTCGTAAAGTGCAGTAGGCTTAAGTCAATGTCGCTTACCCTTTCAGTATCGGAACGCTGACTGCATGTATAGAAGTAAGGTTCTAGTATTTGCGGCACTGAACAACCGCTTGATGGGATAGCTGGTTCTGGCCGTTTGCAAGACAAACGTGCGCTTTATTGCAGTTTGCTCAAATATTCTGTGCGAAATCAAGCAATATTTTTTAGACGCAAGATAGCCCCTTTATCTGAAGGATGATTAAAGTTTAGTTAAAATGCTGCACTGTTTTAATGATAAACACTTAGGATTCATCAGCTGCACATTGAATTTATCCAGGGTTATAAGCGCGCTTCAGCAACATCTCTCAATAAGAGGAACGATAGGTTTTTTGAATTAAAACGTTAGAGAAAATTTCCAAAAGTAGACCGTTGCTATTTTGATGGGACACAAACTTGGACGAAACCTAAACAAGCTTTTGCAAGCTAACTTCAATAAATCACAATCCGGTAATTCATATACCTTGCTAAAGGCACAGGGACGAAGAAAATTATACAGATGTAGACTGTCTATGCAAGCGCGTGATAATTCTCAAGAAGTGTGTTTCGAACAAACTGAGCTTCTAACATACAAAGAATTACACTTATGTGTCTACTAATTTGCAATTGTACTGTTTCCAGCTACCAAACTGCTATTTTCATGCAAAGATTGTAAAGTGATCCAGAAGCAGCATGTGTACGGGAAGCTTCGAACTTGCACAGGTGCATTTTGTGAACACGTGGTTGGAAAATCTGATTTCAAATTCATAAAAATAGATTTCTGACGTGAATTGATGCATGGAAAAAGAAAAGAAATAATTAGGTTGTGACAAACGTAAACTTGTGTTTCGCTGTTTCTTTTTTGGAATCAGCTGCTAAAGCCTGCCGGATTATGAATACCAGTGAAAACATTTCAGTGTTATGATCCGTCACTGCGATACCTAACTAGTCGGATCCCATTCTTCTACATAAATCCAAAAATTAACTGAACGCGCTGCTCTGGTGCATAAAGTAGATCGGTGCTTCTGTTGCTTCCAGGGCAATTACGCGTCATGGGGTTTTTAATAGAAACGACAAATTTGTGTTCTATTTTGCAACCAGATCTAGCTTATTTAGGATGATCCAGGCTTGGCAAGTGTATACCGGTTTAAGATGTATGCAACACTGGATAACGTTTTTATAAATCACTTTTATTATAAAACTGAGTTAAAAACGAGAGTGTGAAGAACGTATAACCGTCACTGAAATTCAAACGTGCATGTTCGTCGTAATTTGGATAAATTTTAGATAACAAAGTAATTTACACATCTACCTATAGCAAGCAATGCAGCATGCATTAAGCCAATTTATGTGCGAAAGTACAAACACAATGGTATCAATATCCACGCTGTAGCAGTGATTACAATCGTATTTCAAACACTAGTTAGTGAATAGTGTTGCTTCAGTATCAGTGTTCCGTCACTAAACCAACATTTGACATTCACTTGGACAGTGCTATCTTAATTAAATCATTATTGGTAATTCAAGTAAAGAGAGTAAAATAATAAACTTGTAGTTTCTCACAAATCTAGTATTCTTATATTGTTTCGATGTAACGACTTCAGTGACAGAACATAGAAACCATATATATATATATATATATATATATATATATATATATATGTCCACACAATAGTGGGACTATATACAAAAATAGTTATCAACCGTTGCGCGACTATACGTGATAAGCTGGCGTTCCTTTGTCACTTCCATTGTAAAATATTTAAAACAGATGAAGTTAAATTTTACTGGTAAAAATGCCACATATTTATCGGATTTAGATTTGTTTTGTTTATAAACGATATCTCATCTGCTTATCGGTTCCTGACAAGCCATCACGTCGCACCACATGGCTGTTGCGATATATGTCTTCTATTTTCAGTTTTGCTGGAGGTTTGTGAATGTGCAGGGAGCTTGTAACTTGAGCAAGATTAAGTGACTGAACAACTTTTATGTATAGAGATTACCTAGAGTAGTTATAAGAAGGACAGAGGCTGACTTGAGTCATGAAAATGGCAGAAACAAGCCTGTTTGGCGCATCGTTTGCGGAATATATATTTCGTATTATAAGACAAAAAATAACAACATAATTGAAGCGAGAGGATCATATAGACAAACCTTGAAAATCTATTTCATTACTAAGGAAACGGGTGAATATAGCATATTGCCATGTCAGCCACTGCAACGCCAACCTGACAAACAGGAGCAGTTTCATTTGTCTCTAACACGGATAAATGCGTTCCAGCTCAGATGGCAGAGTAAAATAGTGGGTCACAAAGTTGAGAAAAGGCGTCTCAATTGTTTTGAGCTACGTGATATAGAACAATGTAGAATTACCGAAATAATGCCAGAACAGTTTATTTAAAATAACCACCTTTTAATGTAATAACTAAAACTTTGCAAAACTGTCTGAGATCTGGAGGCGGAAGTGAAGCGAATGGAAATATGTTTAGTGTATAGAACAAAGATAAACGTAAAAGTCAGCAGCTACTGGACAGTTTGTGTGGATGTAAACTATTATTTACGAAGAGAAATCCCAGCCCTCATAATATGAACACTGCTTATAAAGCTGGGCTTTGGCAGAAGAATTAGCTTAGTTCATGAATTGCGATATACAGCTGCAACTATAACTGTCGTTCACACGGAAGGGGTCGTATCTCTGCTGTCTCATCTTGGTGAGCGCAGTTGTCGAGGTTGCGACTGGGTAAATTCGGCTTTTTCCGTTTCTGCCTCTGGTATCTACAATCCTGCGAGTTGGTTTTCTTGTTAGTTAGCGACGAGGTCGCTTTGCGGACAACGGTATTGGCAAAACTATGTTTATTCTACATTAATGACAGACATTAAGGAGTTGTAAGGTTAAGTCCTAAGGGACAATTACCATTTATCATCAACCAGTACCATGTAACAGTGTGATATCATCTAAGAGTTTAAAAATCTGCATGAAGGTTTGAATTTTACCCTTCATTTCTGTGTAGTTCACTGATGGTCCTACAAAATCATTTATGCTGACATAGAAATATGTATCGCGATGGAGTTAACACCCGGTAAATTAAAGCCGATTTAAATTTTAAAGTAGCAATCATTTGTACACTGAGGTTTTGAAAAATATGACTTTGAAAGCGTGTTTTCCTTTTTATGACTTTGGATAGCAATCCCTGTAAATACTTGCACAAGGGCGAGAATCACTTAAAGAAAAGCCCATCATCTTAGACAACCGAAGAATTTTCCATACCTCTAATTTTAGTTAGGTACTCAGGGAAAACTAATGCCACACAGAACTATGTACGCTGTAGAGAGAAACTGCAATGGAGAGAGAAGTTAAACCGACTATTCTATGCCTGTGATAAAAGGCAATACAACGCAATAAAAACAACCATTTGCTTGAAGTCATTGTAGTGTAAATAAATAAGCAAATGGTATGAAGCTGATGTTCCACACACATTAAACTTTAATATAAACCTCACCAATAAATGCAGTGTCGTGTCGCAGCACACGCACAACGGGACCAGACCATGTCTGCGCATCATATTCCTCACAAGGCTTATCGTTCTCTTCAAACTGGACTCCGTCCATCACACGAATGTGCTGTCTCTGTCTGAAGTCTGAACCACTGACACGTGATATATGTTGGGCAAAACTGGGTGTTCCTCGGTGGCAGTTGACGGGGAAGTCCATAGTATGTCTGCGTCGACGCGTATGGTGATTCACATTTGTCCCGCTTACGTGAACCAAATCGGGGCGCAGATTGTCGACCGTCAGTTGAAATGGAAGAGACCGGTGTGCATCGCGATACAGCTGAAAGGAGTGAAAGAACGTTGGAAAAATAAAACTGCAGTGGAGCAGGAAGGACAAGGTGGATAATTTATGTTACCACAAAATTTAAGCAACAGGATCGTTTGCAGCGATTTTAGCAACGCATCTCCAGGGTATCAAATCAAAAGGCAAGGCGCTACAGGAATAGCCAATATTTGATAACAAATTAAAATGCAAAACAATAGAGCTTATAACTCCAACAGCGGCAGTTTGCATTGCTACTCCGGTCCGGAACCCATCAACTTCGACGGCTGTTGGTTGCAATTCTTTCGTTCTGCGCCTGTACGAATAGATACTCTGGCATCGTATAGAGAGCAACTTGCAGTTACTCACGTTTAATTGCATTAAATTTTGGCTCGACTACTAATCTAGCTTGTCTATCACACTCGGAATCATATGTTGTTCGCGAATACCCTGAGTCATGCACAGAACCTAGATATCATCGGGAAACATTAGAAAATTTGAAGCGACCGTCTGCATGAGGTCATTACTAAATACCAAAAACAATCATGGCCCTAGAACTTAGGTCAGGGGCACAACACACTTGACTTGTATGGGGTCAGATAAGGAGCGGAGAACTTCGATCACTAACTATCGATGAGGGTGAAACTTGGCGATCCAGCTTAACATAGGGATATAGACGCTTTTATAATTCCGGAGTTTGGAAATCGGTATCTCATGATCTAGACTATCAAATGCATTCTAAAATTCCTATAGTAAACTTACTGCGCGCTCAAGCGTAATTTGACTAAGCCAAACAACTCCGCGAGATCAGGGAATTCGTTGTGCATGATCGCTGCCGACGGAAGCTGTGTTTCACAGAATGATGCCTGTGAATTTTTCTAGATAGCACGTCAACGTATCAGCAATGTTGGATTCCATGAAGTTTGACAATATGACGAGAAGAAATACTGAGAGGTAGTTTAACGGATCAGTTCAGTTCCGTCTCTTTGAATCGGGTACATTTTTCCAAGCGTTCACATGGCGGTAATTTGGTCTAAATGGCAGCTGATTCTCTTGAAGGTGCTCCCAGTGTCTCTGGGTGAATAGCATCGACAACCTGACAACTGTATTTACGCCGAGACCCCGGCTTTTGCAAGACAACTGCATCAGTAAAGAGATATAGGTGAATCCTGACATGGCTGTGACAACGCTGAAAGAATGGCTTATTGTAGGACGCCTGGAAACCCGGGGGGCACATTGAGTTCGGAAGTAGGTTTCTGCACCTCTTATCATTCTTATTGGGCCATCAGCAGTCCAAAGCGGAGTAAACTTTACGAAAGTCATTAGATGTATGTAAACTATTTTGTCGTTGGCAATGGAGGCTTTTGCTATATTGTACTGATGTGTCGCTTTGTGTTTCCCGATCAAGTGAGTGCAATTTTCGCTTTGGGTCCCCTAATCGTCCAAGCTTTCTAGCGTTGCAGCAAATCCATATATACTTACCATGCTGCGTTGTGTATTGTCATGTATATTTGAGTTCTGCTTCTATGAAAGCAACTGATGTTGCCCCATTGAAAACCGTTATCACGAAAGATTCTGGAATCAGTAAAATGCATACATTGACGAACTTGATTCAGCCATATTCCAGCTGGTCTATACCAAGGAAAGCGCAATTGTGACGCCAACCAGCTGGATAAGGCTATCGTAACGTGTAATGGTGCATACCATCTGGGGGTTCTAGTGACGATATTCCGCATAAGAGCTGAAGTCAAAAGGCATGACTGCATAATCATTGCAACGCAAGTGACAGTCTACAGCCAACTCAAAAATCATATGTTTCTCATTGGTATGTATAAGGTCCAGCACATATGGCCTGTCACTTGTTCTAAATCAGCTGAGCAAAATGACTTGTCGATAAAGCGGAGATTGATGTGGAGCTCTTGCAAACCGGCTTAATTTGTTATTTGATCGTGGCAGTGATTTCTAAGCAATATACGTTGAAATCATCTATTAGTTGGATGTGAGTGTTTATTCCCTTTAAAGGGCATCTTAGAGCAGTCGCAAATGCCAATCCATCACAACCATCCAACCACGAGGTTTGTAGTTATTTGAAAGCAAACACTCTACTTTAGTGGAAGAGGTAACATTTCGAGTGATCCAGCAACGACGATGTACAAGAAAATAGTTCACCTATAACCCTATAATGTTCCAAATAGTGATTTCTGCCACCATGAATATGGTTGAAAGAAAGCTTTGACGAACGACCGATGAAGGTTATTTCCTTACGATCCCGTTTGCTGTTCCCTTTCTCGGTGTTTCTTTTCGATTACTGAGCGCTCCGTAGGACATCAAACTACATGCGTATCCTATAAGATGCGTGTTGTAGCGCACATGCAAAGAAAAAAATGTTTTCTATATCTATGGCAGATTAAATATCATTCTACTAAGCGGCGGTTCCACCTAAGCTGCATATTTTGTGTGACTTGTGAAGTTGGCTCTGACATTCATCAAAACGCACAGATATGTCGCTTTGTCATGGTTGTCTGGCAATTCAAATTGCAATGGGATGGTAGCAGTTTCGGGAGCGTTTGTGCTCACAGCAATGAATGCAATAAGGTTGGATCCCTTTACATTGTGTTGCATGGTAGCGTGATTATTGGTCTCTCATTTATCCAAACTGATGATTATCTACGGTCTGTCTCTCCATTCACTTTAGCTGTATTCGTAACGGAATGGAATACAGGAGTAGCATTCTGAATGACTTTCTCGACAAACTATGCATATGTGACTGATGCCCCGGGGAACTTAGGCTAGACAACGGACTTTTATGCTTTAGATACAGACAGCCGTAGTTTGGCTACCCCCTCCTTGTTAGGGATAGAAGCTGCTAGACAAAATTTGATCGATCAGACGTTTCGGGCGATGCATAATTTTTTGTTCTATGTGCATCTTAATAAGCAAAACTACGGTTAATTTGCCACTGGGGTTCACCAAATTTGGAGGAGACAACGGCGATAAGGATCTTGTTGATTGTGTTTCAGAGAATACATATTTTGCGCCATTAGTTTGCTTAGGGGCTGTTAGCATTTCTTACGCACACTCGCTTTCAAGGAAGTAACCTCAGTCTTCATCCGTTGTTCGGCTTCCACCGCTAACGCATCGAGCTTGGACCTTAACGTGGTGCTACGGTTTGCGTACTTCTTTGACTCATTGTTCTATAATGGGTGGTGTCCCCGGGCTCCTGGATGGCTAATCCTATCAGGTTGGTCAACAATTAGTGGTCAGATAAACTTAGTCTCCTGGTCCTCCAGGTTGGAGGTTTGAAATTAGATGGCGTCCATTCCTCTAAAACTAAATCATTGATACATCCTCAGTGCCTTGTGGACAGGCTTTTAAGCCAAAGTATTTGGTTAAATAGGTCTAATCATCCTCCTGTCTAGGTCTAGGAGCCTGGCAGTATCCCAGCCCACATACAACCATTACTATTTCCCCAAATGTTAATTACATCGTGCATCGGCAGTCACATAGATCATTGAGGGTTGCCTTATCTGCTGTATACAGCAGGGTGGATAAGCGAAAACATACTGCTGCCGGCGTTTCCCTACTTTCTTTTCCACCTGACCCCCATTACAAAACTTCTATAGTTCCCTGCCTTGTTGACAACAGATATAATGCCATTGGAGTCGAACCATCTGCGGCTACATTCCTGCATCACCCACTGGATGCCTAGCAGCTACAGTCCATTATAAGGCCACGCTGTACCGTTTCCCTGGCGGCGTTGAAGGTTCGCTCTAAGACAAGTAGCTCAACCGACTACACTCGCATGCACGTTAGACACGTTGGGTATTGACATAAGTTGCGCATCCGAAACTAGGATCAATGACTCTCATAGAGTTGTGGAATTAACTGCAGCCATCTTATCCTCACCCTATTGATTGCACGCATCTGGAGACACTGATGCGGCAGTCACTGGTCAAGATGGAGTAGGTGTCGTAAACAGCCCCAAGGTTGAGGCATTGTTGGTTGGTTGCATTCCGAATAACAGCCGTTTATGTGCGACTTGTTTGAAGACATCGACCAAGGTTGATTCACAAACTAGTGTAACACGCTGCTTGTTTGTGATTTCCGCTTACCCTCCCACCGACTGCAGTTTTGATGTTACCAAAGACATTCTACCACGAACCGAAAACATTACAATGAGGTGCTACCAGTTCAGTTTTCATAATATTTGTAGGGGATATGAATGCACAAATATGTAGCCTGGGCTCTTCAGAGTCGCAGCTAGGTGGTACGAATTGGCTTAACTCCAACCATACGGACAGCGGTGAGCGAATTTTGCAACTGTGTGCGGAGCACCCTCTGTTTCTTTATGACACTGTTGCGGACACAGTAGGCACCGAAGTGTCGATCGACTTCCTCAAGTAGTTGAACAGCGATGGACCTAAGTAGATCACGTTGCCGTAAGTTACAGGTGGCGTGGTTCCATTCTTGATTGCCGCTCGTTCTGGAGTAATTTCGTCGACTCCGATCATGCCTTGGTACGTTGTCGCTTTTCCATGAATTTTGCGAGGTGGCACAGTAAGCGTCTCCCCCGACTGGCAAAAAGAATTTATCTCAGTGCACGATCAGGCAAGCCTACTAAACTGCAATTCATACTGAACTTTCGCTCCCTTGTCCAAATGACACGGAGCTTCAGTTGAATTGGATCCCGGTCACCATGCACGATGCAGTAGCATCTGCTTGTGGTATTATCAATCCTCACTGCACCAGTCACCGGATACCCAAGAGTTGGGTGAAGCTGTAGAAATATAGAAGAAAACTCCTGGCTGGCTCTGAGCACAATGTGACCAGGCGGAATATTAGGCGCGAAATGAAGCGGAGCCTGCGCGCTGACAAGGAAGCCTGATGGATCAGTAGGGCTCAAGATATGAAGGTGGCGGGAGCAGTAGGGAACTATCGCAAACCGTTCCAGCTGATCCGCGTCATTGATTTCAGGAATCCAGGCGTCAGTGAAAAAATCACAGACAGCTTGAATGCAC